TCTCTTCTCTTCTCTTCCCCCTCTCTTTTCTTCCCCCTCTCTTCTCTTCTCTTACCTTCTCTCCTCTCTCTCTTCTCTTCTCTTCTCTTCTCTTCTCTTCTCTTCTCTTCTCTTCTCTTCTCTTCTTCTCTTCTGTTCCCTCTTCTCTTGTCTTCCCCCTCTCTTCTCTTCTCTTACCTTCTCTCCTCTCCCCTCTCTCTCTTCTCTTAACCCCTCCCCCTCTCTTCCCTCCCTCCCACCTCTTGAAACTCCATAATAACTTACTTGTGTATATGTTATATCCCCTAGTACAATGTAAGTTCCTTGAAGGCAGCTTGAGTTTCATTTTTCTTTGTATACCTTCCATTCCAAGTACTTGGTACAGTCCCTTGAATATAGTAGGCAATTAATGTGTTGAATTGAGAGATTCTTTTTTTCCTGCCTTTTTAAGAACAGCATCAGATTTGAATCCAAGTCTAGTAGATGTCATTCCTGTGTAAGCAAGGGTTTCATTCTTTCTTTTTCTATTTTCAGTGGCTATAAGGGAACAGTGATTTACCACCATCGCTTTAATGTCTTTTTTTTAATTATAAAAATTTAGGTTAGGCTTAAGGAAGAACTTTCTGATAGTAATGGCTCCCAAACACTGAGATGTAAGATTGTGGGTGGTTGTGGAATTTCTTTTTCTGTAGGTCTCTAAATATAGGAATGACCTCCATCTATTGGGGAAGGGTTAGTATACAATCTTGTTTAAAGAGGCAGAGGAATGATTTGTTAGCTTCTCCCTTCCAGATTCAGGATCTGATGAAGAGTCTCTTCATTTTAACACATCTCTTCATGCATTTTATTATTTCATGAGTGGGTGGGAGCATCCCCAAGCACTAGTCAGTGGGCAGCTACAATGGCTCCACCCCGCTGAATCAGAGGAAGCTTCCTGCAGGAGATAGGCTTTGTGGTATACTTTGTGAAAGACCTAGGAGGATCCACAGAAGGGATGGAGGGCAGCTCTTGTAAGGAGCTGCTGAGGGAGAAGTGTCTTTAGAAAGAAGATCTTAGGGGGCTGGACAACTTGTGTGAGATTGACACTGAGTGAAAAGTTTGTATACACTGTGCCCTGCCATGGCCACAATCATACTTACTCATTATCCCAAGGAGGGAACAAGAGATGTGTTGGAAGTTGGCAGCCAGTCTCATTTCCCCATATGCAGTAGGCAGGAGTATATAAGCTTTGTTCCAAGTTTCATAGATTTAGAGATGGAAGGAACTTCAGAGAACCTCTAGTCCAGGGGTAGGGAATCTGTGGCCTCGAGGTTACATGTGACCTTTTAGATCCTTGGCTGTGGCCTTTGGACTGAGTCCAAGTTTTACAGAACAAATTCTTTTATCAAGGGGATTTGTTCTGTGAAGTTTGCATTCAGTCAAAGAGCTGCACTTGAGGATCTAGAGGGCCACATATGGTCTTGAAGCTTCCCACTGCTCTAGTCCAATATCGTATCCCTCCTACCTCTTTCTAAACTTGAAGAAACTGAAGTCTAGTTTAACTTTGGTTAAAGGGTTTGTCCAAGGACATAATGATTATCAGAGGTAGGATGTGAATCCAGGTGATTCCAAAAATAGTCATTTTTTTCCATCATTCTATGTTGTAGCTTCAAGTGAGATCTAAGGGATAATTTCCTTGACCATGAGGGAGGTTATTGTGTTCCTTTCTTTGAGGCATGTTAGGGATGGAAGAGATTCCCTTTTATGAAGAACTTCAGGTTCATTTTGTGTCCTTCCTTGAAGGAGCTAGGGTTGTTTAGCCAGGAAAAGAAAAGCCTTAGGAGGACATGATAGTTGTTTTCAAGTATTCAAAAGGCTGTCTTGTGGAAAAGATACTAGAATTATTCTTCTTGACCCAAGGGGGCAAAAGTGGGAGCAATGGATAGAAGTGACAAAGATTCAAATTTAGATTTGAAGTAAGAAGCTTCTGACAATCAAAGCTGTCTAAAAGACGGTGGACTCCCTTGGGTAGTGATGGATTCATACATATTGGAGGTGTCCAAGCACAAGTTAGATGACCTCTTGTTGGGTAGGTTGCACAAGGCATTGTTTTTTAGGCATGTGTTGGGTTTAATGCCCTCTGAGGTCTTTTCCCAGTTTGAGATTCTGTGATTCTGTTCAAAAGTACTCATACTCTAAATAAGATAATAGATGGAGACTCGAAGGAAATCTTAGAGGCCATTTAGCCAAACCCCAACATTTTAGAGATGAAGGGGAAAGGAGGGAAGTCAACAAATACTAAGCACCTATTATATGTGGGTACTATGCTAAGTACTTTACAAATTTCATTTGACCCTCACAAACGACCTTGGGAGGTAGGTACTATTATTATCCTCATTTTAAAGTTGAGGAAACTGAGGCAGACAGAGGTTAAGTGATGTGCCTAGTCACACGACTGGTCAGTGTCTGAGGCCAGATTTGAACTCAGGTCTTTCTGACTCTAGGCCCAGTACTCTATACATGTTGACACCTACATGCCTCTAGGCAAGAAGAATTGAGGCACAGAGAAATTAAGTTTCTTATTGAAAGGTAACCCAGGACATAAGAGGCAGAGCTGGGATTGGAGCACAGGTTGGTTGATTGCAGATTCACAAGTCTTTCTACTGCACTTGCCTTGATGCTTCTCAGAGGCACAGACTCTTGAACATGGGACCTCTTGACCTCTTGAAGACTCTTCCACCAGTCTAAAAAGCAGGCCTGGTGATGCTAGACAGCACTAAGTAATACTCCCCTTGCACAGATGCCTTTCGGTGACAGGATATGGAGGTCACCCCTGCCTCCACATGGGGCAGGAGTAGATCAGGTGGGCACCAAAACAAGGGCCAGCTAAGAGGGTTTTGAAGGACTTTAGCCTGAGAACTGTCTTCTTATTGAATGCCTTCTTCCTCCTCCCCCTTCCTCCCCTTCTCCACCCTAGATTTTAGCACACAAAAAGTTACAATCCTCCATTTCTGGTAGATGTGAACAGACTTGTGTGAGTCATGTGGAGGTGAGTGGGTGGGAAGGTAGAGACCTTAGTGCTTCTGGCAGATTCCCAATAGAAGTTATACCATGTTATGCCATGTCCTATAATCCCTGGAATATTGGGGAACCCCTAGGGAGCCTACCCCTAACTTGTCACTTTGTCTCTACAATGATCAGAAGAGAAGAAATGAAGACCAGCACAGAAGGAGGGAAAATCCATCAATTGATTTAATTTAGCTCAACAAACATTAACTAAATGTCTATTAAGATCATGAGATTCAGAGTTGGAAGAAACCTTGGAGATCACTTAGTTTAGGGGTTTTTAACTTATGATCCATGAACTTGTTTCTTTTAAAAAAGTATATATTTTAATAAATGTTTCCATATAATTTATTTCCTTGTAATTGGATATATTTTATTTTTTGCATTTAATAACATAATCCTGAGAAGGGCTCCATAGGTTTCCCTAGACTGGATGCCAAAAGTATCCATGACACCTGAAAGGTAGTCCAACCTCCTTATTTTGCAGAGGAGAAAACTGAGGTCCAGAGCTGACATTTCTATAGCAGTTTAAGGTTAGTAAAACATTCATACATAATCTCATTTATCCCCACAACTACTCTGTGAGGTAGGCACAACAGATATTATTATCCCTATTTTACAGATGAAAAGACAGCAAGACTCAGAGATGTTAAGTGACTCATCTTTGGTCACACAGTTGCTGATCTGAATCCAAGTCTTGCTTACCCTAGGGCTCAGGACACTGAACCATATATCCTCTTCACTGTACATTGTGCTAGGCTCTGAGAAGGTAACAAAGAGGTAGGCCTAGGGCACTGTCCTTGGATTTGAGGAGCCTACTGTTGATTTGAGGGGACGGGATATATAAACACAAGAAAACATAGCTAGTAGTTGTTGGTCAGTCGTTTTAGTTATGTGCGACTCTTCTTGAGCCCATTTGGGGTTTTCTAGGCAAAGATACTGAAATGGTTTGCCATTTCCTTCTCCAGCTCATCTCACAGATGAGGAACTGAGGCAAACAGGGTTAAGTGACTTGCCCAGGGTCACACAGATAGCAGTACCGGGTATTAATGTACTTATTGCTTAATAGAGATACAGACAGCAAGTGATACGGGAGCTGGGAAGTGGGGAATTTGCTGTGGTTTGCAAAGGCTTTACCAGAGGAGCCAGAGTCAGGAGACATGAGATCTAGTCCTCAGTCTGCCACTAACTAGCTGTTGGATTTGTGGTCAGGTCACTCAGCCTTGTTATGCTTCCGTTGAGGATGCTGGTATCTCCCTAACTGAGAGGGGTAGAACATGGAATATTCTAAAAACGTGTGTCCCCGTCTGCTGAAGGCTGCGCTCAGAGGCCCCTCCAGATGTGAGAATGGTAGAACAACAGGCCAAGACTCCACTGATCCTTGTCTTGTCCAGTGGATCTGGACCCTCAGGGGAGATGAGACTACAGAAAGAGATGATTCCCAGACCAAGTCTAGGTCTTCCTGATCTGTAGCTAGGAATTCATCCTCCCCTTTTGTGGAAATTCTCCTTTTAAGACTTTGGGCTCCTTCCGTTATGCTCTTGGGAGTCCTGTGAGCTTACTGTTCCACCTGCCCTGCTCCGTCCCTCTTTCTCTCTGCAAGGCAAAGGATTAGGTGCTCAGCTCAGGGATCCGAGACCAGAGCCAACACAGAACCTGCTGAGTGCAATGGGAATGGGAACATCCCCCCTCACAAGCATTCATCATCACCTCCCCACCCAGGGAGAGGGAAAGCCTTGTATCCAGGTCATTGGTTTGCAAAGACTGGGGAAGCTGGAGGCCTCCCGGGGTTTACTAGATGACATGCCCCAGCAAGAACAGAGGAGACTGAGAAAAGTATGTGTGCAGTGGGAGGGCTGTGTATCTTTCTCTAAGTCTTTTTTATTCCTTCCCTCCCACCCACCCCCAGGGGCTTTTATTTAGGCGATAGTCATACTCAAATAACTGCTTCTACCTCCTTCAGGGAACCATACTGCTCCGTGGAGAGGAGACTTTATCTGGGAAACAGAGGCAGGAGTCCAGACCTCAGAGGGGTCTTACTCTCTTGGTACCTACTCCTTGGCTTGGTTTCTTCAGCAAGGTTTTAAGTAGCTTTCTCCATCTCACGGGTGCCAGCTGGAGTGGGTTTAATCTGTATAGAAACATCCATTGTAAGTATGTGATACTAGCTGTGTGACCTTGGGGAAATCAATTAATCTCTCTGGATTTTGGTTTCCTTATTTGCAAAATGGGAATATTAATAGCACCACTGTTTCCCTTATTGGATTATTGTGAGGAAACCTTGAAACCCTGGGAGCTATTATTTTATGGGTCTTTTTGGGTCTACTGAAGCAGCATGGAGTAGGACGAAAATAGAGTGCCAGAGTCAGGAAGACGTGAGTTCAAATCCTGCCTTTGACACTTAATTGTGTCATGATGGGCAAATCACTTTATTTCCTAATCTCAGTTTCCTTATCTGTAAAATGAGGGAGTTAAGCTAGGTGATCTCTAAGTCTCTTACAACTCTAAATCTGTGATGCAATCTGTGATTTGAGGGGCTGTTCAATGGTATTGTTAATTTAGCTCCATGCTTTCCTCACAGTCCACAGGCCCAAATCCAAAAGAAAACCATGATGGTGGGGGGATCCTCCTCAGAAGCCCAGGCCTACAAATTACGAGGCTGCTTGGCTTTTGTGACCCAATTAACGCCCCCTTCCTCTGTGGGCCGTTCTGGGAGTCACACCGACCTTTTTAGGTCAGAAATTTTTCTTTCCAGATGAGAAACAGGCCCATTTGATGGAAGTAGCTTGACTGGTTATTGAGTTATGGAAAATAATTAAACTGGAAAAATATTTCTTCTTTTCATAAACCAGGTTAGGTCTGAATGTTCAGGGCGTGGCCCTTGCTGTGTAATTAGGTGCTCAGCGGGCATCGCTGACTTGTCCGCTCCTCCCTCTTGTCAGGTCTGCTCCTGTTGCTGAGGCTGCGGCCACCCCTCCTCCCTCCTGGCCCCTGCAGGTGTGTCTCCAGGTTCCCTGGCTCTGTTCTCCACTCCTTACCCAGACTCGGGCCAAAGCAGTCACCCTGTCTCACAGCTCCAGCTGGTCCCACTGACAGTGACAGAGAGAATGGAATCCTCAGATGGCACAAGAAGCAACGGGGCCAGCCCTGAGGCCAGGGACATCCGAAGCCCCCTGAGCACCAATGGTAACATGGAGAATGGTGGTAAGGTCGAGGTCAAGGATTCCAAGGGCACCAACGGGCATGTTGGGGAAGGCGCTGAGAACAAAAACCCAGGGAGTCCCCTGAAGCATGGGGAGGGAAGGAGTGCCTTGTTTTCTGGTAATGACTGGAGGAAACCCATCATCCAGTTTGTGGAGTCTGTAGATGACAAGAGCTCCAATTACTTCAGCATTGACTCTGTGGACAAGAGGTCTCCTTATGCCGGCCTCCAGTTGGGGGGCTCCAAGAAGCTACCCGTAACCTTTGCAGAAAAGGGGGAGCTGCGTAAGTCCATTTTCTCTGAGTCCAGGAAGCCTGTGGTGTCCATCGTGGAACCTGCGGAGGGGAGAAGGAACAGCTACCCCCGAGGCGGAGATGTGGGCATCCTCCTTCGGCCCAAGTCCAGTTCAGAGGAGATCCTGTGTGACTCCTGCATCGGCAACAAGCAGAAGGCAGTCAAGTCTTGCCTGGTATGTCAGGCCTCCTTCTGTGAACTGCACCTCAAGCCCCACCTGGAGGGAGCCGCTTTCCGGGACCATCAGCTGCTGGACCCCATCAGGGACTTTGAGGCCCGGAAGTGCCCCCTGCATGGAAAGACCATGGAGCTCTTCTGTCAGACAGACCAGACCTGCATCTGCTACCTCTGCATGTTCCAGGAGCACAAGAACCACAGCACTGTGACCGTGGAGGAGGCCAAAGCAGAGAAGGAGGTAACCAGTCACTACCCCTCCCCCCACCAAGCCTCACCTGTGCTCTCCTCTGCTCTTCCCATTCCCCTTTAAGACCCCTGGAGGAGTAGGCCAGTCCCTTTTCCCAGGCTAGACCTTTCCTCCCCTGGGCTTGTGTGACATAGCGGAGTTAGCCGGTCACAGCCGGCTGGAATGTCTTTCTCCCCACCACAAGCTTGGGCACCAGAAATAGTGAATTCTTTGTGCCCAAAGATCTCAAAAGAGTCAAAGTGAGGAGGAGAAGATCATTTCTTAGGTGGTCACAACAGGTAAGGCGCTTGACCGAGGTTCTGAAGCAAATCTCTACATTAGAAAGGAGAGCAGGGCTGCTAGTCTACATGCCAGGATTTTTCTTTTTTTTGGCCTGGGGATGTGGTTGGGGTAAAGAGAAGGTGGGTAGGAGGGAGGAGAAGGGTGGAGGAGAATGGAAAAATTCTTGGAGTTGGAGTCAGATTACCCAAAATTGGAGTTATAGTCCCAGCACTTCTACTTACTATCAGGGTGACCTTTAGAAAATGATTTTACTTCTCTGTATGGACCTCAGTTTTCCCTTCTCTAGAAGGATGAGATTGGACCACATAATCTTTAATTATCTTCTAGCTCTAAATCAGGTGGTCCTATTCTTTTTGGCTCTAAAAAGGCAGATAGATCTCCTGGGTAGGGTGAAGCTAGATGGGAACAAGGGGTGGGCTTTTTTTTTTGTTTTTTTGCAGTCTGGGGCCCTCTCTGTGGGATCCAAGGTCTCTCCAGTTAGCAGAGGGACTCCTTGTCTTAAAATTTCCCCAAGGATCTTATTTATCCTTGCATGTGACTCTCAAAGATGTATGTAGGTGAGAAGCCTGGGAATCAGCTTCACTTGAAGGCTGGACTGGCAATGACCCCCTCCCTTTTCTTTCCCCACCTCCCCCACCGTTACCCGGTCTTAAGGTTCAGGGAGACCTCCATTTCTCTTGTCTCTTTCTACCCTGGAATGAGCAGAAGAATAGGATCATTAACTCCCAGGAGCAAAGATTTAGAGCTGGAAGGGTCCTTTGACAACATCTGGTCCAAAACCCCTCATTTTACAGATAAAGAAACTAAGCCCTAGAGAGGACCTTGACCAAGGTCACACAGGTGTTAAGGTGCAGAGCAGGATTTGAAGCCTGGACCTCTGTTTCCAAATCTAGCACACTTCTCATTGCACCACACTGCCTCTTAATAATAACACCTTATAATTGTGTAATATTTCCAACGTTTACCAGGGACTTTCACAAACACGGTCTCATTTGATCCTGATGACAACACTGGTAGTTAGGTATGGCAGGTATGATTATCTTCATTTTATAGGTGGAGAAAATGAAGCTGAGAGAGGATAGTTAAATGAGTTGCCTATGGTCAGACAGTTAGCAGATGATGATAGACTCAGGACTTCAACGAGGTTTATGTAATTCCAGGCCTAGGGCTTTGTCCATTACACCATTTTTGGATACAAACCATTTCTGTTCTATCTTTGAAGGAAGGGAAGCATCCCTAAACCCACGAGATGCTTGACCCCTTTCTGTACGCTTAATTCTTCTATCCCTGCAATTTTGTATTATAGGATTCAGACATGGAAGGGACCTTAGAGATTATCTAGTCAGACTATCATTTTGCAGATGAGGAAACTGAGGCCCAGGAAGGGGAATGGCTTACTCAAAGTTATAAAGGTCTTACCAGAGTACAGATATGAATCTAGGTCCTTTGACTCCAAATCCAGTGCTCACTGCCCCACGGTAGCATGCTCCACTCCAAGGCCATTTAACACTGCTTTTAATAAAGCTTAAGAAGCCTCTGAAGAAACTCCTGGCCACATTTTATGAGTGAGCAGAGCTGGTTGGAGTTAGGATGGAAAGGTCTCTTAGAGGAAACAGTTCTAAAACAAACTTTATAGGCCTCATCTTCATTGTTTTTTTTCCCCCTGGTGAGGCAATGGGGCTAAGTGACTTGCCCAGAGTCACACAGCTAGTGAGTGTTATGTGTCTGAGGCCAGATTTGAACTCAGGACCTCCTGACTCCAGGGCTGGTGCTCTATCCACTGTGCCACCTAGCTGCCCCTAGGCCTCATCTTGAACTCCCTAGTCCTTTCCCCTGGCAGAAGACTGTAGCAGAAAGGTTTAGGATCCCTGGGTCCTTGATGAGTTGTGGGACCACAGGCAAGCCACTGACCTCTTGAAATGACCTCTAGTATCCCTGTTAGCGCTAAGATTTTCAGATTTTTGTGATCTTGTGACCTATTTGGAAACAGAGTTAGCATAATATGTGCTCTCAGTGGAATGAGCTTAAATTGTGGGCAGCACAGTTATAAATCCAGAAAAAACATTCCCTTGTTCATAATTAGTTACCAAACCCACAGCTGTTCCCCACTAATTTGGGGTTCCCTTCATTTGTATTCTTCAGCTTTCTGCCCTTCCCTCCAAGCCTCTGTTAACTTAGAACTACCTGGGAGGCATTAATATATATAAGGTCATCACAAAATCTCTGAGTTGGAAAGAATCTCAGAGGCCTTCTTGTTCGATCTGCACCTGGAAAGAAATCCCCTCAACAACATCCCTGAGAAGCAGATGTCCTGTTTCTGACTAAAGACTTCCTGTTAGCTCTAAGCATTTATTAAGTACCTACTATGTGCCAGGTACTATGCTAAGTGCTTTACAAATATCTCATTTGATCTTCACAACAACTCTGTGAGGTAGGTGCCATTATTGTCCCCATTTTACAGATGAGGAAAATAAGGCAAACAGAGGTTAAGTGACTTGCCCAAGATCACACGGCTAGTAAGAGTCTGAGGCCAGATTTAATTTGTCTTCTTGACAGCAGACCCAGTGCTCTAGCCACTGCAAAATGAAAGTGGATTGTGGGACACAAATCAATCAACAGGTACTTATTAAGTCCCTCTCTGCCTGGAATAGAGCTTAAGGACACTTATCTGTCATGGGTATCACCTCAATAGGCTTCCATTAAAGGCCATCCACCTTGATTTCATAAAGGATCTCAGAGCCAGAAGGGGCAAGTTCTGTAATCTCTAAGTCCACCCCTCTTTAACACATGAAGAACCCCAGAGAGATGAATGACTCAACTGAGGTCACATAGGTGACCACTAGAGATGGAGATTCTCGTGGGTCTAGAATCCTGGTCTCCTGACTCTGTTGGCACCTCTGCCTGTGCACCCTCTATGGTGGCCACACAAAACCCCTTTGGGGTACTATAGTCTAGTGAGGATGGCACACACTTTCCTGCACGTACGTGTGCCTGTACATACATTGTCCTAAAGAACACAACCTCAATGAAAACCAGGCAGCTCTAAATGAATATAGTGTGCCCTAAACAGATGCTTACGGAGGAGATGTGCATTCATGGAGTGACAGAGAAAATACCTTGGTGCCATGGAAAGATTGCTCAGTGAGAAATCTGAAGACCTGGTTTGAGGCCCTGCTGTGTCATTTGCTAGCTGTGGGACTTTGGACAAGTCATTAACTTCAGGTGTAGCATGGTATAGTGGACAGAGTGATGGTGTTGGAGTTTGGAAGACCTGGGTTTGAATCCTTCATCAGCTAATTATTACCTGTATGACCTTAGGCAAGTCATTTAACCAAACTCTGCCACCTCATTTTCCTCAACTGTAAAATGAGGAAGTTAAACTTGAATGATCTCTATTGGCCCTTCCAGCTCTAAATCTATTATCCTCTGATGCTATGGTTTTCTCTGAGCCTCAGTTTCCTTAGCTGTAAAATTTAATTCAATCTAACAGACATTTATTAAGAACCTATCAGATGCAAGGTAGTCTACGAGGTGCTAGTGATACAAAGACAAGACATGATTCAAATACTGAAGTTTCTTGCTTACCTTCTTCTTGGGGACTGGAGGGGATAGGATGCCTACATTGTTAAGTATAATACAAAGGAAGGAATAAAGAGGCAAAGGAAAGAGTAGCCAGGGAGCTTCAGGAATATCTGAGCTGACTGGGTCTGGGGTATTTGGTGGGGGCTTCCCAGAGAAGGTGACATAGCAGCTGTGTCTGAAAAGAAGATAAGGATTCTGAGAGGTAGAGGGGTGAGGTGTGAAGGGAACATGTTCTGGGCATTGGGCAAATGCTCAAAGACTGGATTGGAACATTGACTTCAGGGGACAGTTGTCACATAGACTGAGGAAAGAAGATTGTGATGAAGTAGGTCTGGAAAGGGAGCTTGGCATCTAGTCGTAACAGGCCTTGAAGGCCAGACTGAGGAGTTTGTATTTTATAGGGAGCCATGGAAGATTTTGGATGAAAAAAATACTTCTCCTATCTCTTAGGGTAATTGTGAACAAAGCCTGTTCTAAAACACTACATAAATGTAAGTGTTCTCATGATCACCATTTTCATGAGAGATGAGTCCCTCTCTAGCCTTCTGAAATGCCTACAGGGATTATCTTCTATGGCGACAGCATAGCAAAGAACCAAAGTAATGGGATAGTTCGAAGGGCAGGGAAAGCTTTTCTGTGCCCAACTCTCTCTCTGGTGCTTTGCATTCTTCCCATTGGAGTCATTCTTTTGGCTTAAGGCATTGTTTTCAGAAATGCACATCAATTATTTGGGAGGGACACCTTCTTTATCATCCATCTGGGTCATAGGATTTAGAGCTGGAAGGATTTAAATGATCTAATCCATCATTTTACAGATGAGGAAACTGAGACCCAAAGACAAGTTAAGTGATGTATCCAAGATCATTAATACTTAGGAAGTAGTTAGAATAGCTGGAAAGTAGAACCAGGATTTGAATCTAGGCCCTCTGACCACAGCATTCTTTCCTCTGTGATACACTCAGTCTATTATCACCCTCATGTATGTTAATTTTTCAGATTAGCCCTTTCACAGTACAGGGCACTGAGGGAATGGGACGCAGCACTGGTAAGTCTGATGTCTGTAGGGTATGATGCTGATGCTGGCAGCTCTGATCAGGCAGTGGTGGGACCCTGAGCAAGGAGCTGAT